AGAATATTGTAAATCAAGATATCTAAAGGCTGAAAGAGATAGTTTTAATTTTTTTTGTAAGTTGAACACGGGTTTTTGTTCGTTATTTTCCAATCATGACATTGAGAATATGGAGGGTGTGACCGGTTGGTAGAGAATGTTCAGTCCTCTATTGCACCTGGTCCCACTTCTGATATTTTTGGAAGTCTGTGTTAACTCCGCTCCTATTTTACATGTATGATGTATAATGAACTTTTGAGATTTTTTTGGATTTTATACTGTTTTTTTACCTTCACGTATATCATTTGTAAATTCTTCACAGTCATCACAGTGAACCGTACACTCCGGATATCCCTGGAATGGAATTGTTTGAGGGAAGAATGATTCACAGTAAAGAGTTTAGACACGAGGAACATTTTGATGGACTTCGTGTTGCAGTTCTAGGATGTAGTTATTCAGGAGAAGACATTTCAATGCATGTAGCAAAGTTTGCAAAAAAAGGTATTAAGCCTAGACAGTAAATTAAGTCTTTTCTTATTGCTAACTATATAATTTTTATCCTTTATTGAATGTTTAAATAAAATGAATATATGAACATTGGTAACAAAGTACGTGGGGTGTTCGTAAAGTTCGTGGACGATGTCAATCTTTGTTATATTACTCATTAGAGATTTTGTAACAGAACAATATAATTTGCAATAATATTTCTTTTGTTGATGTGTGAAGTTTCATTCCCTTCGATTTAACAGAAATCATTCAATTTCATTTTAAAATCAACTTGTTCTATACCCGCGGAACACAATTAACGGGAATTGTACGTCAAAACATAGCGTCGAGAGTTCAAAAAAATATTATCTCTATACATTTCACATAGTTTTATCCAACATCCACTCATTAAAAATCTTTTTCTAATACTTGACATTTATTTTTTTAACAATTGTTCTCGATGTATAATTTCCTTTGTTATGATTTCAATTTCTTTTATTACTTATAAAAGAAACTCTGAAGCGCATTTGTCTTTCCTTAACTTTCGAACTTTTTAAAGTTAAACTGTTTATTCACATATTTTCCTCATTAGATATAGAGTCTCTGTCACTCAAATACTGCCTGTACTATTTGTCCACAGATGCACAACTATCTTGTGGCATGATTTCTATTCATCCAACATATTTTATGAGTTTTTTTTTTAGGATTTTTCGTGAGTAAAACACAAAAGTTCATTGTTATCAGCAGCTCCGTGACGTTCTGAAACGTAATCGTTTTAGTCGATTTTAATGAGGACTGCCTTCCTTCCCAAGTTGTTTTTTTTTCAACGAAGCAAAATATTAAGCCGTAATTTGTAGTAGAAATCGACGTAACAATTCTTAATTTGAATTTCTAGGATTTCTAGGATGTTTTTCATTTTTGCTTCATTTTACAGAGAATATGCTTACAGCCATTTGGTGTAATGTTTGTAAAATTCTAAATTTTGACCTGCTCCGCAACCCGAGTTTTGCATTTTATAAATCTAGAAAAGTTTTGAATAAATCCTTATATATATTTAAAAAAGTAATACGAATCATTTCGAACAACCCTCGTAATTTTACGTATACCGATATACATTTGGGGAAATAAATGTTCTAGGAAAAAGTCATCATAATTCTTGTTCGTTGACAAACACATATTCTCTTATATAGAGCGGTAAGTGTGATTTTTAATTTGGAGGGGGGGGGGAGAAGTTAAATTAATTTAAACTTACATCTAATATTACAAAATACGATTCACTTTGAGTTTTATACCGTGAAATCACTTATTTTCGGGGGGGGGGTGTTGTTGTTACTTTTCGTTGTTTTCAAGGCATGAAGAGACCATTGAATTCATGATTACCTCGAAATGTAAAATTATCAATACTCAGTACTTCTATACAATATCGGAACCAAATTCCCATAAGCATGATTTCCATTTTTCTTCGTTCTTAAACCTCGAAAATTGGACCTCTCTTAAATATTTGATATTACAGTATATTTTCAATTTAGTTTATATTTACTTAAAGGTTTTTGCATGCCACAGACGAGATCCAAAAGACTTCAGGCCGTCTTTCAAAAAAGAAATAGAACAAAGACCTCCTTTTGTCCATATGACGAAAGATTTCGTGGTGTTTCCCGATGGCTCTTCAGAAAAAGTTGACGCAGTCATATTCTGTACCGGATATCGTTATTCTTTTCCATTCTTAAAAGATGACATCATAGCGATCCAAGATCAACACGTTCAGCTAATTTACAAACATATGTTTCATATAGAATATCTAAACCTTATTTTCATTCGAATAGCCCGGCAGTTTTTATACTTTCCTATGTACCATGAAATGGCAAAACTTGCAGTTTTGGCGTTGGCAGGAAAAGTGAAATTTCCGTCCAAAGATGTAATGAGGGCAGAGAGTGAAGCGGATTTCCAATCTCGTTTGAAGGAATGCAATCCACCGTCTCATGCCCATTTCTTTGGCGGTACTGGTCGACGATTTCGATACATTGAAGAACTCGCAGAATTAGGAGGTTTTGATCCGCTTCCGCCAGTACTCGAAATGATTTTTACAGACGTCGCAGATGAAAGACACATGAATCTTCCACATTGTACCGAGATTAGTTATCGGGTAACTGGGCCTAATTCGTACGTTTGCTTAAACCCGGAGAAGATTAAATCAAGGAAATCAAAAGCCGAAAACGTTTTTAAAGATGGATGAATCAATCATTATTTTCATGAATATTATTATTCATTATTCATCTTCTTTCATCTTGTTTAGAATTTTTTTTAAATTTAAATATCTGTACCATCTCAATATTTTCAACTTGTTAAACTACACTGCTTGATTTCAGAGAAGACATTAAATTTCTTTGTAATATGTATTTTCGTTCTTCTCATCTTTTTGCATGGCGCTGTCACAGACATAATTAACATTATAATGATAGTTTTTTTTAATTATATTGATAGGTAAAGATAAGAAAAAGGTACCATTTAGCTCCAAAGTAAAATAAGAGGTACTCATATTTTAAAATAAAAGAAAAATAGCGTTTAGTTTGTTTTCTTAGTTATATACTAGATGAAATCCCTCGCAATCGCTGGGAATTTCCAGTAACGACAGAGAGTATATTGTAGTTTATATTGTAGTTTCTATTGACAGTCTACATGCAGGTAGAAGGAAAAAATACTTCAAATATCCAAATTCCCCCATGAAATAGATGCACCTCTCAAACACATCCTGTTTTTTAAAGAATAAGAAAAATAACAATTTCATTAATTCATTTCCGTTCCGTGATGAAGAAAAGAAGCACAAATATGCAAATTTTACTGATACATTGTACATTTTTTTTTTGTTAGAGGGGGGGGGGGGAGAGGGTATAATTCACAGATGTTTGGGACTTGGTTTAAAAATATGTATGTACCCTATTGAGATGTCCAAATAAATGTACTTGACATTTTTTTTGACAGATCAATAAGACCCATACTTGTACATATTTATAAACCAAGACCCAAATACTTGTGTAGAAATTAGTTTTTAACGCCCTTTGAAAATTTTAGTATTTGATGCAAAGAATTTAGAATAAAAAGAAATGTATTAATTTTTAATGTATACTGAAAGGAAAAAAAAACGCATAATAAATTTTTGAATAAAATTAAAACTATTATTTCCAATATGTTTTCCAGTATTGTTATCAAACAATTTAATCCAACTTTTAACAACAAGTAACCGAAATCTTTTGTGACTTTGACTGATAATTCCTGAGTTATTGGGATTGATATGTCGATACCCCCCAAGATTAAAATTAAAATTCTCATCATTTCCCTTGCGCATCAGTAACAGCCTTTATTTTCTTGTGCATTGAGTTCACCAGAGCATTTATCTTTCTCACAGGATTATCATTCAAGCCTTCCGACGATAGTCTTAATTGTTGAGAGTAGCTGTTTTATTCCAAAGCCAACAAATCCCTCCGCTCAATGAATACCACGAATTTTCGATTTAGTATAGAATTTACAGAATCTAGCTGATTTGGTACACGTGAATGTTTGTAAGGAAGTCTCGATAAACACTGGCTACATTTTCTCAGCGTGAACATGCTAAGAACGTTACGCATACGGCGCGTACGTGCGCGTGTGAGAGTAAAATCGACGTTAGGTTGCCAAGCTTGCGTACCAATGTAGAGCAGAGAGTTTCTGTCAGTATTATGGTGAAAATATGAGTATGATTGTCTGCTGTAAAAATATCGGTTTCAGTGATAATGACTTGACAGTAACCGAGGTAGCATGATGAAAAGCATGATGTGACGCTGTTACGCGCCAACCTCACCGTCATGGTTCGTTGGAAACCTTTTAAGTTACTCTCTGATAACCGAAAAAAAAATTTTGATCGAAAATTTAAAAACAAACTGCACAACAACATGTTGTTGCCTTTTTATGCACTTATGGAACTCAATTACTAGACACAATGTAACTTCAGTTAGCCATACCATGATTGCAAGAAATTTATACTGACTGAAAATATCGGAATACGATGTCTGTCATCTCTTGGCACTACAAATTGTGATCATAAAATTGTCGTCATCAACATGCACGTGTATTTGGCGTTTTATCACTTCCCCAACATGATACCATACATTTCATGGTTGAGTAATTTTGACCAGCGATTTTAGTGCACAGTAACCAAAATGCACATCTGACCAATTTTCATAATTTTCGGCCACACAGTTAAATATTTTTCGCTATCATGCTATTATGCGTTTCTTTTTCCCTTCAGTATATATATCTATTATATAAATTTATAATATTTAACTTTACAGCTTAAATTATATTTGAACAAAACTTTACATCAATTAACTTTCTCTTCTCATGTAAGCAAGTTAATTAGTACGAAGTACAAATTATAGTTCGGGTTCGTTGCCGCGATGTTCTCAGCGGTAAAATACATTTACCTACCGATAAATTTATTAGAACAACCTACTTCACATTATTTTGTAATACTATTTTGATACATTTATATATTATTAACTTGTACTGATACATATATCAATGAATTACCATTATTTGAAAGATCATTCACACAAAAGGTTCTTAAACGTCATGCAAGGCAGCTATAATAATTTTTTTTCTTTTTAACATCGGGAGCGATGCCATTTGATGTTTTAGAAGCTTCCGTCAATATTAAGATCGGTGAATGACGAAACTAATTTGCAGGTTTCCCGTTTTAAACGGTTATCACAACCTAGTTCTTTTATATACATTTAAATCATGTTTTGATTGAATAATTATATGATGACGAATGTCAATATACTTTATGTAATATGGTATGTTAATATTGAAAAAAAAAGCACATGAAATCCCTCCTGTTTGCATTCAAAGCGTAAACAAGCATCTATATGAAATTGAGCAGTTGCAGAGTAAATAAATTCCTTATTATAAAAATATGTACTTAAATCATTGTTATTTTGCATAATTTATTATATCTAAGGGGACCGACTGTGGTTTTATTTTGTGAAAACTACAATAACGAAACTCTTCATTTTTATTCCATATATTTAATTACTTACATAAACTTAAGTGTACATGCAAAATTTGGGCGAAGTCTACCGTCCAAGTGTTTTTAAGGGACCGTCTCAAAATATACATGTAATATGAATCGGAAAGATGCATTACGTATAAATATAAAATTATGCAAATATTTTGACACGATCCCTCGCTTCAAGATTTTATTTAAACTTTTATTTATTATTGCCCTAATAAAATGAATGATAAAGAGCGATAATATCGCTAAAAGCAAGAAAAAGAGTCGCATATGTCAAAAATGATATTCTATCAAGGGACCTGTATTGGCTACTGTATTGGCTACCTGAAGACAGATGTTAACCCCCCCCCTTTTTTTACATCGTTTTCGGAAAAAGTAAAGCCTAACAGTTAAGGTGTCGTTAAGATTCATTTACCATCTTCAATAATGCTTTCTTATATTATACTACGTATGCCTTCCTAGTAATGTGGGTGAAGCTTACCATGGATCAACACTGAATCTACAAGTAGGCCCCTAGCCTTGCCTAACACATTTTGTACTGCCATTGTCCAAAGAGTTCATTTTCACGATCCCATGGTCCTTACAACTTTCAGTCTAAAGCTCCAGCAATTGTCACATAATGTTTCAAAGACGCAGATAGCAAAAATTCTACATTTTGAACACGATCTACTTTCTTTCGAGGCATCTTAATATCAACGGCGGTACGTCTTCAAGTTATACGTCATCAATTTGAATTGGCAATCATTCAGGTAGTTACGCAGGGGAAGTCTCAAAGTTTTGTTAAAACAATGGTCGTATGAGATAAATAGAACATCTATGATTGTGTGATTTGATATATATTGGCTTTATCCAACTCGTTGGAATGGTGTATATTCGCTCGGCAAGCCTCGCGAATATATACACCATTTCAAATCGTTGGATAAAGCCTATATCAAATCACACAATATAGACATCCTCTATTTAATATCTTTTTAAAAAATTATTATGGAGTTTAAATAGTTTCATAGTTGTACAAATGCTAAAGAGGTTCTTGGATCTGGTCCCCATTGCGACAGACCTTAGCACATTAAAGAAAAATAGAAACTTTTCCTGACCCAACGCAATTTGTGGCGTCTACATAAGACGCAGCACTGTTAAGGCCTACTATGAGAAATCAACGGAAAATAGACGTGCTAAAAGGAGTATTTTTTAAAATTGAATTTATTTTTATTAAGGTGTTTTATTATCACAGAATTTTAATACTTATGGAAATAACATAGTATAACCCTCTCTGTACTGTATGATTTTAGTCCCATCGATGGACAATCACGTGATGAATGCACAGTTCGTGTACTGAATGTAGGTCATTAACAAATTTCAATATCACAAGGGCATACCCTAGTTGAAATTAAAAATTCAAGCTATTAATTGTTTCTGCATATTTTGTAGTTTCTGAAAAGTTCTGCTGCTTTGAATAGAACTCGCGTTTTAATAGTTAAATTTTCAAGTAAATCTCTTACAAAAAATACTATAGTTAACTATAGTTTACTATAGTTAACTATAGTTATAACTTTGACACTTTGAAAACTTTGATTTACTATAGTGATAACTTTGACACTTTGAAAAACTTTGACAAAAACTTTGACACTTTGAAAAACTTTGACGAAAACTTTGACCCTTTGAAAAACTTTGGCGAAAATTTGACTTTTTGAAAAACTTTGACGCTTTGACGCTTTGAAAATCTTTGGTGAAAACTTTGACACTTTGAAAAACTTTGGCGAAAATTTTGACACTTTGAAAAACTTTGGCGAAAACTTTGACACTTTGAAAAACTTTGGCGAAAACTTTGACACTTTGAAAAACTTTGACGAAAACTTTGACACTTTGAAAAACTTTGACGAAAACTTTGACACTTTGAAAAACTTTGGCGAAAACTTTGACACTTTGAAAAACTTTGGCGAAAACTTTGACACTTTGAAAAACTTTATCAAAAACTTTGACACTTTCAAAAAAATTTTTCAAAAACTTTGATACTTTCAAAAACTTTATCGAAAACATTGAAACTTTGAAAAACTTTATCAAAAACTTGGATTATTTAACACTTCAAAAACTTTATCGAAAACTTTGAAACTTTGAAAAACTTTATCGAAAACTTTGAAGCTTTGAAATACTTTATCGAAAACTTTGACACTTTGAAAAACTTAATCAAAAACTTTGACACTTTTAAAAACTTTTTTGAAAACTTTGACACTTTTAAAAACTTTATCGAAAACTTTGATAATTTAACACTTTGAAAAACTTAATTGAAAACTTTGAAACTTTGAAAAAGTTTATCAAAAACTTTGACACTTTGAAAAACTTT